AGTGACTAAATTCCTGTAATAAAGCATTTGCCATAGGGCTGGGCTTGTGGGTCGCTAAGTGGTGGTTGTCAGCTGTAGCTGCTCCCCCTATGCCACTGAGGTCCTGTGGCTGAGGATAGTTGTGCTGCACAGCTGAACTTTGGGCGAGCCCTTTCCTTAGACAACCAGTAAAATTTTAACATATCTTCCTACAGTGAAATAAAATGGGAGGAGACCACTATTGTCATCTAGACTCTGAGGTATAGAGGATAATCCATACCTTCTATCTTCAAGCAGAGTTGGAGCTAACATGTGCAGTTGTGGTGATGGCAGGATACCACCCCTCTGTGGATAATGCAGTTCTCTCGCCACAGCTTAAACTAGGCTTCTTATGCCTACGTCAGAATCACCTAACAGTCCTATAAAAAAAAAAAACCAAAACCAACAATTGATTGCTGAAACACAGTCCTGTAGAGTTTCTGCGAGTCAGGCTTCAGTATATATAGTTCAGATAACCCGCTTTGGCTACTCTGTGTAAAACTAAGGAATGCTGGTTACTGCTTAAGCTACTTCTTTTGGTAGACATTATTTTCCATTTCTGTGTACTTATAGAATATTCCTGTACATTTTCTAGAGCTACCTCTTCTTCCCCAGTTCTCTAATGTTGAGGTTAGCATGTCGGCCCTGTTCATGTCAGCAACACTCATCCACTCAGGACTCAGCGCCTTACCATGCACCTGACTTTCTCAGAGTATAGATGTGTTCACAGAGTGAGTTAATGCTCTCAGGATGGTGACAGGTATAATGATGCATTTCAAAAGACAAATTAATATATTCCCAAAGTCCAAATTAAACCTCAGCAGTTAAAAAACAAAGATGCTATGTTTGGGATTAGTTTTACTTACAGTTGACATATTTGATGGTTTGTCTCATAAAAGAAATGGCTTTGGTGACACACCATCCTATTTGCCTCTTTGGGAGGCCACGGTAGATAAAGTGTCGGCAGTTGTGCCAGATAATGCTCTGATGTACGGACTAAACCAAGACCCTAGAGAAGGAGCAGTGAGGCGTTAGCCTCGTACTGACCAGGATGCTCTTCCAGCATTGTCCATTGCCAACGTTTTAGGTGCTTGGTGCTTATACACAAGTAATGTTTAATCCCACCTGATATTTTTCCCACAGTCAGGTAGTTTACTTGACAGACCGTTGCTGAGACCATGGGCAATAAAAAGTGATGTTCACTTGGGAGCTATCTGATTTTTCTAGTGTTCTGGAGTGTGACAAGAAGAATTTAGAGGCACATAGGGATTTTGTTGGTAAGGATTAGAAAGGTTCTTAATAACCCAAGGTGATAGTGTATTGATTTTGGGACTTGATCCAATTATTAAATCAGTGTTTCTCTTAAGTATTATATTTATTGAGCATTAGGTATCAGAGCAGGCAGCAAGATTAAAATCAGATTTTCATGGTAGAATTAGTTACAATGTTAGTGTTTACAAAATGTACTGAGAGAGTCTAGGCAGTTATGGTGAAGTGGGAACTCTGTGATAGTTTTGTGAACTTGAAACAATCTAGAATCCCTGGGGAAGAGAGTTTCCAAGAGTGTTATCTAATGTCTGGTTGTCCAGATTATCTTTGTGTAGCTATTTGTGGAGGATCGTCCTGATGACAATAATTGACATGTGTGTAGCTCACTGTGGGCAGTACCATTCCTTTGGCTTGAGGGTTCTGAACTATAGTAAGAGTGGAGAAGGCAGCTGTGCAATGGTAGCGCACTCCTTTAATTCCAGCACTTGGGAGGCAGAGGCAGGCAGATCTCAGTGAATTTGAGGCCAGAGTTCTACCAAGCAAGTTCCAGGACAGCCAGCGCTGTATACGAGAAACCCTGTCTTGAAAAGCAAAAGCAAAACCAGACCAAACCAAAAACCAAGCAAGTAAGTGGAACCCTAGAGGTCCACATGCATGAACTCTCTGTTCTTCATTGAATGAGTAATGGCTCAAGTTTCTGCCTTGACTTCCTATAAAATGAAGGATGGTAACCTGAAATTGTAGGCTGAATAAACCCTCTCTCTCTTCAAATTTCTTTTGTCGGGGTATTTTATCACAGCACAGAAAGGAAACTAGGCCACCTCGCAGATGTGGAAAGACTTCCAGTTTGAATATTACTGTTGTTGGACGTGGACTGACTGAGGAATACTTCAGAGGAACATAATCTATTCCTAGTAAACATCTCAAGTTCATGAAGACCTTGAGAAACATTTAGGCCAGCTGTTCTCAACCTGTGGGTCATGACCCCTTTTGGGGTTGAACAGCCCTTTCACTGGGGTCACATATCAGATGTCCTGCTTAGCAGATATTTTCATTATGATTACTAAAAGTAGAAAAATTATAGTTATGAAGTAGCAACAAAAATTTTCATGGTTGGAGGTCACCACAACATGAGAGGCTGTCTGTATTACAGTGTTGCAGTGTTAGGGAAGCTGAGAACCACTGATTTAGGCAGAAGACGACTTTCCCTCCCTACTCTCCCCAAGGATTAAGAGTTATAAACTGACTGAGGGTGGTGAAAATAGATCATGCAGTTTGCTGAGCTGCTGCCTCACTCTTACAGTCTGATAGAAACTAGACACATGTACCCATGTTCCAGTCCAATACTTTATTTTCTTCTAGCTTTTTGTATAATTTTCTTTATGATTGACAAGAAGTTTAAAATTAAGATTGATAAATTCAAAAATTATCTTTTAATATCTGGAATTAGAATTTTAGGTGTAAAATACTAGGAATCATAACCACCTATAGTCCCTATACTTTTTTTTTTTTGGTACTGCTGTTTTATTTTTACAAATTACGTTATAGAGTCATTTCTTCCACAGGAGATTGGTCCTAGGACCACCTTCTAATATCTGAATCCACAGGATGCCCAAGTCTTCTGTGTATATGACAGTATTATACAGTGTAAGACGGTATAATACCAGCACATTAGCCTTGCACAGCCTCCTCTATGCCTTAGCTTATACCTAGGTTACTATGATGTGAATGTGAGTTGATCGTTATTATACTGTAGTGTTTAGAGAGTCATTGCAAGGGAAAGAGTTTGCACATATCTAGTACATAGGCAGTTTTCTGTAGTGAGTTGACCATTGAATATGAACTGGCAAAACAGTGTGTACATAATAGACACATATGTATCTTTGGGTTCTACACACATATTTATGTGTGTGTATGAGACACACACACACACACAGAAGGCAACTTCAGCTCTTATCCTCATGAGTGCCATCCACCTCCTTTGAGACATATTCTCTTAATGGCCTGTCTCTTCGTTTGGCCTACGCTGACTGATGGGGCAGCGATCCCCAGGATCTGCCTCTCTCCCTCCCCCGTGCTAGGATTACAGTCCTATGCCAGCATGCTTGGACTTTTCACTTGGATTCTGGGGATTGAACTCAGGTCCTCATAATTATAGGAAAAACACTTATTGACAATGATCTTCCAGTTCTAAATTCAGCATATATTAATTAGAAATTTAACTAGATTTTATTTTATTTATTAAAAAGAATAACTGGTATTAAAAACTGTGTTATTAAAAACATTTTCATACCAAGGTGTAAATAGAATGGGGAAAGGATTTCTTGGGACATTTATGATAATCATCATACTTTCACTGAATTCTTGATTAATATACTTACATCTCCCAAGTATTGACTGACTGCTTAATTGGCTAAGTTTTCTACTATGAGTATTACTTGTGGGAAGATGTAAGATACATGACTATATAAGTGTACATGAAAGGTCTTTAGGACTGTCTGTTGGAGTCTACTCTTGCTGCTAGTTTTGATTATAAATACAGCATATTAGTATTCTGCCATAAGGAGAATTATACTACCATATCTTCTGGTTTATCTGACAGGTGGCTGATACTTTATTTATTAAGTTTCCCAAGGCCCTCAAAGTAGCTAAATCTTGTTCAAAGTAAATATAGTAAGTTTTATGACTACTGTATTATAGGTGCTTGACATATATTACTTCACTGACTCTCCACAGCAATCTTGTGTGATAGCCATCGTTTCCACGTTTGTAAAAGGGAATGAAAGCTTTTGAAGAAGTAAAACATGGCCAGCGCTGTCCACCTCGCAGGAGGTGGATCTGGAATTTCCACATGGGCTCATGTGTCTTTCACAACCTTAATTCTGTTGCCTCCATTGTTTCTCATTACAGAAATTGTTTTTCAGTAGCAACCATGCAATATGTGCTCTTATCTATGATTAAAGGAAGGGAGTCCTATAGAATTCTTTGTTTCTCCTTGTCTGCAGTAAATATGGTCTAGATTTTAAAAGAAGGAGGATAAGAACCATTGCTGATTATGCATCTTAAGACAAGCATAGTATGTGATAGGAACTCAGAGACTACGTGGATGGACACATTCAGTGTCTGGGAAGTATGTGGACTCCCTGGGGCAGGGAGTGCTCACTAAGGGCAGAACAGTCTTCTGGGACCACTGAGTGGTTTGGTGACTCAGGTACCTGTGCGACAGGGGGAAAGTCATTCATGACTGGTGTTGAGGTATTGGGAAATTTTATATTAACAATAAGTATAGTATTTTTCCCCTTAAGTATATTAAAAGACTACATTTAAATGCTTTAGAAAAATCATGTTTCCATAAAGATGTTGGATATTGTTATTTGTTTTCTTTTTCTGGTAAATTTTAACATTGACATTTTATGATAAATTAATTTTCAAAAATTCAAATTATGACATTCTTTTGAAGATACCTTATGAGAATTATGTATAGCTTATAATGCACAATAACTTGTAATATTGTAACAGTTGAGTTTGCATAATTAAAACAACTCTTTTTGAGTAATTTCATCAGAAGGAGTTAGAATGTGCTGAAAGAGTTCTTGTTTGAAGTTTCAGTTAGCATGCTGTAAGGAAAAAAATCAGAAAACTGGAATGACTTACACTGTGCTGTTGAGCAGCATCAATGTCTCCGTGTCTAATGGTGGAATTTTGCCTTACAGCTTTTCTGGGAGAAGAGACTGCAAGGACTTAGTGCATCAGATGTAACAGAACAAATTATAAAAACCATGGAGCTACCCAAAGGCCTTCAAGGTATCATCCAAGTTTAGTTGAATAGATATTTATTAGGTGCCTACTGTGTACAGGCACTGTAATTAGGTAGTGTGCATCTATAATTGGCCTGAACCAGTAGGCCTTCGCTTTGGGGGACATGTGCTTTGCTGGATGACATTCCTCTTGTGCTAGACTAACGTGTCATCGGGATGCTTCTGTATTACTATGTCAGCTGGGATTTCTTTTTCTTCTGTGTGAAATGTTTGGCCTTAACTACAGATGAACAAAGGGTTCCCCAAGTCTCCTGCTTCCCAAGTAGCAGCATTCCACCCCAACACTTTCTTTTTCTTATCTTCTTACACTAAAAGAACTACTGCAAGACCTCCTACGTCTCTACAAACTGCTGCTGTAAGTTGCAGTAGGAATGTACACTTTGGTCCTTGATGTTGCCTAGTGGATTCTGGGGTAGGGGCCTCAGTGGCCAGTTTACTTGTCATTTCGTATGGTTATGCCTCATTTAAGAGTTGCATTATTTTTCAAGGACCAGAATTTCAGTCCTCAGTCTTGACTTAGTGTAGATTTCTCAAAAGACTTCCAAATGTATAGTTGTGCTATTATCTCATTCTTGTATTTTGTAGGAATTATTGCTTTAAATTATTTACTTAAATTTTGCTGTGGAGAGGTTCCTAAAAGCATGAAGGTATGCAGTTATTTCTAGGAATCTGAACTTTTTTTGGTCATCTGAAAAAAACCGATTAAGTTTGGGCATGCCATGCTTGCATTGACATTCCCTGAAGTCTCAGGATAACAATAAGAATAGAGATCCTTTTGGAAACTGATATTAAAGCTAGAGGAAGAAATTGATCTAGGCTATGTTAATAGGGATGCTTGAATATAGCATAGTGCTTTTATAGGGGTTTAAAGGTATTTAAATAGTTGACCCTTCTTGAGAAAATGCACAGAACTTTTCCGAAGTTTAGGGCCTTCGGAAATGTGTTTTAAAGTTGAAGTTTTGTTTAAAGTGCTTAACTGTTTTGTCGTTGTTTAATGTCAATCATTTGGTGCATAGTAGCTGTTAAATGGGTAAGTATTGTTCTTGGTTGCACTGTCGGGTGTCAGGTTTACCTGTATGACCGTCCATGAGCATAAGAATACTGGTTCTGGGAGGCAGTGGCGGGCCCACGGGCACAGGGATGCTTTCCTTTCAGCAGTGTTGCCCTCGCATTGCAGGAGTCGGTCCGGGTAGCAATGACGAGACCCTTCTGTCTGCTGTGGCCAGTGCTTTGCACACAAGCTCTGCACCGATCACAGGACAAATCTCTGCGGCTGTGGAAAAGAACCCTGCTGTATGGCTTAACACATCCCAACCCCTCTGCAAAGCTTTCATTGTCACAGATGAAGACATTAGGTAAGGCACTGTAACTTAACTTTAAATACCTCAGTTTTGCCGCCAGATAAATTTTAGCAAAGCCTTACGCTCAGTGTCTCAGTGGGTACAGCTGATCATCCTGTATTCAAAACTTAAAACCAAGTTCAACATCTCAGACTTTTGAGGTGTATAAACTCCATGTGAAATATAAGTGAATTTTGTGTTCAGGCTTAGGTCCCATACCCAAGATATCTCTCTGTGTATGCAAATCCCCCTCCCCCAAAAAGGGGGGGGATATTTCTTTTGGTACCAAGCCTTTTAGATTGAAAAAAGAATAAGGTATGAATCTATCAGATATCATGCTTTGGGTTTCACAGAGTGTGTTGGCTAGCTTTATGCTGACTTAACACAAGCTAGAGTCATCTGAAAGGAGGATATCTCAGTTCAGAAAATGCCTTTGTAAGACCACGCTGTGGGCAGCCCTGTGGGGCAGCTACTGATGTGAGAGGGCTCAGCTCACTGTGGGCGGTGCCATCCCTGGAGGTCCTATGTTCTATAAGAAATCAGGCTGAGTAAGCCATGAGAAGCAAGCCTGTAAGCAGCACCCTCCATGGCCTCCTCATCAGCTGACTTCCCTCAGGGATGAACTGTGGTATGGAAGTGTATAAATAAACTCTTTTCTCCCCAAGTTGCTTTTGGTCATGATGTTTCATCACAGCAGTTGAAATCCTGACCAAGACAGAGCTTCTCGGAAATGAATGGAATGTGATAAAGATCTTTGTAAGAAAAATATTCTTGAAAATAGGCTTTGAATGAGAGTGACCATCACAAGGATGTGTGTCATCACCAGATGAGTCACACTCTCCAGGCAGCAGCTTGACAGCCTTGCCTCTGGAACTCTGCTCTAACGAGCCCTTTCATCCATCATCAGGCCTGTTATGTCCGTTCTTTTTAGTTTTGATTTGCCTCTTACAGTGCTTGAAATTGAAACCCAGGCCTCTAGCATTCAAGGCAGGTGTTCTATTCCCAAAGCACACCATTTACTTTTTCCGCCATGCCTTTATGATTCTTTATGCATTGGTTTGTCTGCAAACCGGCCTTTCTTTAAAGCAGGTGGGAGCCTGCTGCCTTACGGCATTTTAAAGTTCAATTTAGTTATCATGAGTATATTTTTTTCATTCAAGCTCAGTTTAGAGGTTTGTTTATAACTGCTTTATTGTTACATGTGAAGATTCAAATTGTTCCTGAGACATACACCCATCCATGCACACACCCACACAAGCACCTCCCCCCCCACAAGCACACACACATGCACCCACACATACACATGCATATATACATATACATACTCATATAGTAGAGCAGGATGGGAAGCAAATGATAAAGACACAGCAAAGAGGTAAACAGAGTCAGGATGAAGAGAGGACATAGTTACCGCTATAAATATCTGTCAGTCTTTTTAGGACTGGGCCACAAAGCAGGTGTTTAGCAACATCAGTAAAAGAAAACCTGATTTGGACTGGCAGCACCCTGAAGTATAAGCCAGCTATTATTTCAGAGAAGTAACATACTGAATAATGAGATCATGAGGAAGTTACTTTCTGAGACTTTGGGGTTTTGTACCATCACTTTGTAGTGATGATAGTGATGCCTCAGTATATTGTATTGTACAGTGTGTACGTGTGCTTCACTGTTTCTATGTGAAGTCAGTTTTCCTGGACTGTCATTCCTCAACAAAACCAGCAGATGGCAGTTTGGAATCATCCAATTTGAAATAGTTTTCTGTTTGTATTTGTTTCCATGTAAATGTATAAAGGTTGATATGGAAATGTCCCTAAATGTATGAGCCTATAATTGGAAAACAATCCCTTGACTTTAAAATAATCTTTTTTGAAAAGAAAGAAAAAATTCAAGTTTGTATTCATATTCTTTGGTTTTCTGAAATTGCAATCAACTTTACTTTTGAAGATTTTTAAAAAAGAAAATATAAAAAAGCAAGAGATGAGGTTGCTCTATGGATCATTGTGACTTTGAGGAAGATAATTATCTGGGAAACAGTTTTTTTTTTTCCTTTTTTGTATGAACACAGAGATAGTGATCAGGATTTTCACCGAGTTGTTATGGGTTTGGACTGGGGTACTGGGAATACGAATGGCTTCAAGATTAGACCTTTTCATAGTAGAGGAATCTTAAAATCAGGCTTGGATTTGGGTTAATTGTCTAACAAATCATTTGCTCTAACTGGTGGAACAGGAATTATTTGTTAAGCAGCTTTCCTTGTTGAATTGGCACAGCTTCAGAAGAGACCATGAGCAGAATTGCTGCTCTTCCTCTCACTGCATCCGGTGGGCGTTTGTGCATCTGGCAGGCATTTGTTCTGCGAAGTTGTAACTAAAGAGCTCACTCTTGCACGAGAGCCTGCTAATCCTCTCTGTTACTCTAGTTGTAGTGTCTGCTTTCTGTGTGAGCACTTGGTTAAGAATCTCAGCATTGAGTATACCTCTTCAGCATACTTGACTATATTTTCAGTCGTAGGTATAATTGTTTTCTGATACTTAGTAACATTCTTGTGAGTCATAGCTTCAGTACTTTACAAGCTTACACTTTTGTGGTTGCACAGCCTGTGCTCTGCTCAGCCCCACTAGGTTGAAATCAGGGATGTCCGGACCATCTTCCCTTCTGGAGCATGGGGTCTTTTGTTAAGTTCAGACACTTGATATGAAATTCACAGTGTGCTCCGGGGCTGAGACTTCTGTTTGCTTGTTGACTGCTGGAAAGGGCTGCTCTGTGCTGTTGAAGGTGCCTGCAGTTCCCCAGTATGTGGCTTCTCTGTACCCTCACAGTTTTCTTTCAGGACACTTTGTATTGGGTTGGGTTCACTAGATTCAGCTTTCTCATGATTAATTAATGATTCTGTGATTAGTAACCAACTATAGAGTGATATCTCACCATGTCAACAAACATTCCCCACCTGTACTGGGAGAAATTGCCCAAGGAGTACATATGGGATTTGGGAGATTCCTAGAGAACGTCATAGGATTCTGCCTACCCCGACAGCAAGCCTGTTTGTTGTCATGGTTCAAGTAAAATAAACTCAGTGACAGACATTAGAGCTCGAGATAGCCTTCTTTACAAGATGCAGTGTGCCCCACCCCGTCTTCCTTGATACATCATTCTGGCATCTCTCCTGTTCCGGCTTTAGGGATGAGACTGCCAATGTGACTTATATGTCATTTGGCATAAATTACAAGTTACTGGGCCAGAGAGGAGACAAACTATGTTAAGAAATGAACAATTTTTTTCTTCTGGAGCCTGCTCCGTTACACGAGCATTTGCTGAACTCCAGTTTCATTTGATGTGAAGAAACTACAGAGGTCAGATTGACCGTACTGCCTTCCTCCTGCTTGCCCGATCTAAAGCTTCACTCGGGAACTGGAAGTCTGTTCTTAGGAACCCTTTGTGCTGGTTGTTTTCATAAAGAAACGTAGAGCATTTTCCCAGCTGGAAGGTGCCTATCACCCCTTACCTTGGTGCAGTGCCTGCCATTCAGTCCTGGGCCTTAGACCCGAAGGGATTGCACCGCTGGCTAATCTCACAGATTTGAAGGGATTGCACCGCTGGCTAATCTCACAGATTTGATGGAGTCCTCTCCCTGTCGGCTCTACCAGGTTTGCACACTGCTGCCGTCTGTCTGCCTTATTGGAGGAAACCACTGGTTCCCCACCCCAGTACAGTCCCTGCTTTTCCTTGTTACTGCAGCTTCTTCTCCTGCTCTGCATCCATCCGACCATTCCTGGGCTCCTCACACAGGAGGGCACGACCTGCTGTCCGTGGAGCGAGCCCACTCACTGCTTCCTCTGCCTCCTTATTTTTCACTCCGGCTTCCTTGCTTGCTTCTGGATTTCTGTTTCCTTACTTTCCCAGTAAACTGCATCATTCCCTGCCCCTCGTACTTCACAGAGCATTCTAATAACCTCTTATCCTGGGTTTTGTTTTTCTTCTAATGGTTTAGGACCTTCTTTATGATGTGCAGGTATTGTCACTTTGAGATCACCTTGCTGTCACCAGACTAGGGAAGGTCATGATAATAGTCTTGGTCTACTAGGCTCATCTCTTGATTGTCTCTGTCCCCAGTCATAGCCTTCAGTGGGCCTGACTCTTCTGTGTGGACCTGGCTTCCCAGTACTGCTCTCTCCTGACTCAGCCATAGAGTGCCAGAGCAAGCCCGGCCTGCTGTGCCTCTGGCACGTCTCTGTTGATGCTTCGCCTAAGAAGTTGTTCTCCTTTTCTTTTCTGTGTTATCGTCTTCTCATGTCTTTGCTTCCAAGTTATTTCTACTTATTTTTAACTCATCACTCCAACAAATCTTCACACACTTGAAATTTGTGAGTTGAGGAAAAGGCCACTGAAGTTCACCTGGTCCTTCCAGACTCTCTTGAGACAAGAGATCACCACCCTTGGACAGCTAGTTGTTCTTTAATTTTTTTTTTTTTTTTTTTTTTTTTTGGAGAAACTTGCAGTGTTTGGTTTGTATGTGTAGAGGTAGATTTGGGAGTCTAAGCAATTGTGCTTTTCTAAGTGATTTCGGGGGTGCTCAGGGTAGTTTCATTTTATTACTTTCCAAATTTTCAGTTTCATTTCCTTCTGATTTTGAAAAGGAAACAGGAAGAGCGAGTCCAACAAGTACGCAAGAAATTGGAAGAAGCACTGATGGCGGACATCCTGTCCCGGGCTGCTGACACGGAGGAGGTAGACATCGATATGGACAGTGGAGATGACGCTTAAGAATATGATCAGGTCAGCAAACACAGGCGCAGAGACCGGCGGCCGTTTCCCTTCGTAGTTTGCTCAACACTCTAATGTAGTTTGTTCCCCTCATGGGTCCTTCATGTGTCCCCCTCTGTATTTAAGGACCCATAAGTTATTACATCTGTCCTGATTCTCTGAGGACATTCTTGCCACATAGCTACCTACAAGGGATCTTTGGTGTACTTCATATGGTTTTGATCAGTGGTGAAAAAATGCCGATGATGTTCTGAGAGAAAGCAGAGGAAAGAGGAAGGGACTCTTGGGTTCAGAGGAATGGCTGGCCCCACTGGCCTACAAAGGGATGGCATGCTCTCCTTAGAATTATAGCAATAAGATGAGCAAAATCTTCCCCGTTAGGTAGATCCTTCATACCACACGTTAGGTACAGAACAGGCAGAACGGTGACAAGTATAACATGAATTTTCCTTAAAGATGCAAATGTAGGCTCTGTTTTGTTGAGTGCTCACACTCTGTGGCGTTGATCTTGCTTTCCAGCCCTCACTTGTGTTTTGGCAAGATCTGTTTTAATTCTTGCCATCCTATGCCAATGACTTGTTCCCTCTGAACCCAAGTCTCAGAGGGAGAGATGGCAGAGCAGAACACGATGCCAAGGCTCGGCAAAGTTACTCTGAGGAAGGATCTTTTACCTTGATAATAAAGGACGAGTGGAATTGAGTCTTGAGGAACATAGGTGGAAAGTGGCTTGCTTAGAGGGTTAACAGAGAGAAGGTTTGTTTCTTCAGAGAGAAGATGAGAGGTTGGAATGTAGAGAGTGGGGGAGGGCAATGTGTGGGCAGCAGGTCTAATCAGGAAGGCCTGTGAGTCAGTCAGGACTTCTTGCAGAAGGTATGATCATATTTGCTTATTTGGCTTGGAGTAGAGAAAACTTGGAGGCAAGAAGACCAGTTGAGATGTTGCTATGGTCGTCCAGTGAGGAACAGTGGTAGCTTTCTGAAGGTGATAGGAGACACAAGCAGGGAAGGGTAGATTTGAGATACGTATTTGGTGGTAGAATCAGCCTGATTGGTGGTTGATTGGAAGTGAGCTTGAGACAGCAGTGGAGAGAATCAGGCTTCCACTGGAGCAGCTGCCTGGAAGTCCTGTTCGCCAGAGGAGCACAGATAGGGAGCTGAGAAAAGATGGGTGTAATTGTTAGTACTTTCTTTGAGTGCCTCTCCTTATTTTAATAGTGTCCAGTACTGTGATCACTGCAACCAATATATAATATAATATCTGCTGTTTACATGTCCAGGACAGCAAACATCAGTCACGTCATTTCCTGACCAGAAGCTTAGTTTAGATCCAGTTTAGTCCAGTTTTAAATGTTTTATGTCCTTACAAGGAGAATCTGGTTCAGTCGTGTTTTAAACTATTTATTTACTCGCTGAGGCTAGGAAGACACTGTGGAGACAGCTAGATAACAGGCAAGGCTGGCTAGCTTCACTTGGCTCATAACAGATGAAGTCTTCTAAGATTTGGTTTCCTGGGCATGCTAGCCTTCTCATGTTGGCGCTCTCCCTAATATTCTGTATATGCAAGAATGACACACATTTGTTTACTTAGGTTATTTATTTAGTTAAGCAACATGCCGGGATCTTCTGTATTACTTACATGTGTACTTATAGATAGGTCCCCAGGTTATCAGACGTTTTAGGAGCGATTGTGGGAAGGAGACAGTGACAAGCATGGCTGAAACATGCAGCTGTGAGTTTGCAGCTGCACAGTCATCTCAGGTACGGCCACAAATGCTGTAAAGTCAAGTCAACCACTTGGAAGCACAAGAAATCATTATTAGGTAGAATTTTCTCAGAAATATGTTTGGGTTTGGCTGATATCTGCTAGGATGTTTTATTTATGTGCCCTGTAAGTTTCCTTTCTATGCTGGTTTTGCTAATTGTAGACCAGAAACATTGTATAAGCAGTAATATGTATGGCAGTGAACTGGGTATAAAGTCACCAGGATGACATAGTAGAGTATAAAGGATTCGGTGACTTCCGGTCTCCAGCCATCCCCATCCATTCCTGGAGCTCAGTCTCAGGACTGTACAGATGGGATTCTCAGTGAGTCTTACTGACCTTTCACCTAAGAAATCTTTGTTCTTCTGTCTCCATAGGTAACTTTCAACTGACCGTCCCCAAGAGCAAATTGCTAGAAACGGATTGAAAACATTTCCACCGGGTTCCGCCTGTAAGAAAACAGTGTACCTGAGCACATAGAGCTTTTTAATAGCACTAACCAATGCCTTTTTAGATGTATTTTTGATGTATATATCTATTATTCCAAATGATGTTTATTTTGAGTCCTAGGACTTAAAATTAGTCTTTTATAATAGCACGCAGGACCCTTAAAATGAAGTGGAGCTTCTGATGCCAGGTGCAATCTACTGGAAATGCAGCACTTACGAGAGATATTTGTTCCCCCACAGTTTTAATATAAACCAATCAGGAGAACCAGATACGTTCCCAATTAAAGATTATTATGACTTCACTGTATATAAGCAGATTTTTATACTTTATTGAAAGAAGATACCTGTACATTCTTCCATCATCACTGTAAAGACAAATAAATGATTATATTCACAGACTGATTGGAACTTTTTCTGTTAAAGAATACACACTATAATAGCCCCGGATAGCACTCCTGATCCATGCTCAACTTAGACCCTCGCCTTAGCTTGGAAATGGAGCTGGTGTATTGCAGTGCGCCTACAGACTTCTCTCTGTAGGGATTGTCTTGCCAGAAGCTTCACATTGTCTCCTGCCATCCAGTTTTCTTCTTTTCTTCTCTTGCCTGTGACTAGGACTTTGAATAGTGCTACAAAAGTAAGGCTCGTTCTTCGTGTGACACAAGTTAGCAATACCAGGCCCCATGGGTGCTGCCCGATAGCTTCCTGAGTCTGCAGAGCACTTGAGATCCTTGCGCAATGAGCCGGAGTGTGAAGCTTTACTAATCAGTATCTGACCAAAGTATTAATTATTTTCTTTTGTTTGAAGCCTGACTTTATTACCACTGAAATAGCTTGATATTTATTTATTAAAACTGGCATTAAATTATTCAGTGAGTTTTTAAATTAAAACATACTTAAATTGATCTGAGCCAAAGACAAGAGGGAGTGGCTATAAGGAAATTGTGAAAAATGGAGGCACAATAATGTTGCTTTATAGGGATAGTTGATGTATTTGTGTATTTATGTTCACTTTAAACGAGCACTCATGTTAAGCATACATGAGTCCCTACGTTCAGATCCCAGCACCAAAAAACCACCATCACCAAAAAACAATAAAATTAGACCTGAAGTAATGTAGTCAAGGTGTGACCACCTGTGCTCCTGTGTCACCTGCACCCTTTATTACCCCAGGGGAGAATGGAGCAGCAGGATTGCCCAAGCTTTCCAACTGGGTGTTTGGGCTGCTCTGGTTTTGGAACTTTATTGCCAAACTGTAACAATACTTCTTGGAATTTCTGGTTACCAAATTTATATGTGTGAGCCTTAGGCCCCCATTTTCTGGAAACATCCCTGCTGGTAGATGAATGGCAGACTTGCCAGCTCTGGGAGGATTGTAGCCAGAGGATCCCAGCTGGCGGCCATCAGAGTGACTCAGGCTAAGAATGTTGGAGTTAACACTGACATTTCTTAAAGAGCTAGTGTTACTATTGGAATGGCTTTCCAAAAGCTGTTCTTCCCCTACCCCAAACCCCAACTCTTTACATACAGCTACGTCTTGAGATCACGTTTTGGCAATCATATATTCTTTTTACAACAGAATCTAACCCACCATGCAAACTTCTGTAAAGAGACTTTTGAAGCAAACTGACAGTGACCATACCACAAAGCTTCAGTAGTTATTCCCTGTGTCCTTCACTCAGGTAGACACAAAGTGTAAAAGCCATTATAAAGCTGTGTCTTAGTGACCATCGCATGAGGCTGAGATGTTTCCAGTATACCCACAGGACTTGTCTGAAATTAAATTCATCATTTTATCACAACCCGCCATCATCTTGGATTCTTCAACTTGGCTCAAAATCAACTTCAGCTGGACAAGACAGAGATACAGGGACGATGCTGGATATTGCTCATTCCCCTGCTTGCAGCATCTTAGTCCTGTTACAAGTGCTGAGGTAGCCACACCCCTCCCATCCTTCCCTCCACAACCACTAAGTTCACAGGAACCTTCTTCCCTCCCTTTGGACTTTTGAATAGCTTTCCCCTTTTCCAGCTGTTCCCTGTCCCTTCTTCTCTCTATTCCCCCGCTTTTGTCTCCAGAGATAGTCTCCAAAGAAGCAGAGGTGATCACGTCCCTTCCCTGCTTAGAGTTCCTCATGCCTTTAAATGCAGGTTCAGGTGTCAGAGCAGGAACTTTGCAGTTAGGGAGCCTGTCAGGGCCCTCAGTCTCCTTGAGTTCTTCCCTCGGTGATACAGGAATAACAATACCTACCTCATAGAGTTGTGAGGATTCCGCCAGATGCTGTTGGCCAGGTGCTTGGTACAGCGCCTGGCACTTAGCGGCACACTCGGGAGAATGCTGTCACCCACCGTCCTCCCCGTTACTTTCAAGAGGTGTTTGTCGGTAACCCTGTCTTCGTAGCTCTGTTTTCAGTACCCCATTTCTCTGTAGAGAATTCTGAAACCAGTTTGATTTGTTGATTCTGTGTCTCTTTAGTAGAATGTAAGCTCGAGGAGAGCAAGGCTGTTTTCTGGTACAGCCCCAGCCCTTAGCCTATTGCACGTAGTCAGCCCCGCCCTGCAGCTGTCCCCACTGCCTTTCCCTTCAAGAAAAGCCACATCGCGTCTCCCTTGAAGTTCTGCTGGGCCTCAGTGTCTGTACCCCTGTTACTCCTGCCTACCTGTCTAACACGGCAAGTTCCTGCTCACGGAGAAGTGTAAGCTCAGTGGCGACCTCGTCCTGCTGTTGCCCCCATTTTTCCAGGCAGATGCTCTTCTTCTTGTCTGAGTTCTCACTGTATTTTGTAAATACCTCCGCGGAGGCACTTTATTGTATTGTAAAAAATGTTATGCATGTCTGTCTCTAGTATGATCTGTAATCAAAGTAAAAGCGGAGCTGGTGTCTTTCCATCTTAAGCCCCCCCAGGGCCTTGGACAATGCCTGGAATGCGCTTGTCAGTAAGGATTTGTTGACTGAGTTTGTGTGTGAATAAAAGACTCATGCAGGTAGAAAACAAGTTTTTATCAAGACAGAGTGCCCAATGGCTTCCAAAAATTTTTTTCTTTACAAAGCATTATATAATCTCTTTGAATGTTATAATGTTTAAATTTTAAAAATAATACAAGTTTAATATAGATCTTCATAAATGTTTGCAAAAGATATCAAAAGCTTTGTGATCTTTCAAATGCTATAAGAGTTCAAAATAAATATTTGCACTATTTCCATAGTGAATGCTATGAGGAAATGTACAGCAATAAATTTTGAAGCTTTAAAAAAATATTTGTGTAAATCATCGTCTATAACTTAATCCATGAAGGACAGCTGTGGCTCCTGGCCACGAAGGAGTTTAGACTGGGTTGCAGGGCCCGAGAGCTTTCAGAGTGTAACTCTTACACCCTTCACCACAGCTGAAGCAACTAGTTGCTCAGGCCTTCTGCTGTGCCTGGGAGTTCAAAGGACTGTCTGGGGCCCCCTAGGGGCAGAAGAGAATACTGTGACCTCAGGAGACTCCCTGCCTCCTAACTTCAGCAGGGCTGTCCAGTTCACTTCAACCTCTGGGATGGGTGTGTGTGTGTGTGTGTGTGTGTGTGTGTGTGTGTGTGTGTGTGTGTACGTGCATGCGTGTGTGTACATATGTGTATACAAATATGGATACCTATAATAATCTATCCACCCCATACCATCCTCCTCCCAAATACATTTCAGTTGCTACAGAGTCCACAGGAAGGAACAGGTGTCAATTAATCCAGGGTGTGCCCTGCAGAGTTGGGACTTGGAATCGAGGTGATTAACCTGCATGTTGCACAGTCTGAAACATGAAAAACATTTTAAATTGTACAGAGTATATGTTCTTTTGTAATAATTATCTTTTAGTTTACTTTTTAGAGAGGTGATAAGTAGAAACTATATTATTTCTTACATTTATATAACTTTTTACAACTTAACACTTTCACCACCATCTTTGAAGTTTTAACTGTATATTTTTATTTTCTTTTAAGAGTTAAGCAATCTAAGACCCAGACTCATAGATGATTTATGGAAATTAACATGGGGGAGGCAGTGGATTTGAATAGAGCAGTCTGTTTCTAGAAGTATCCAGCCTCCACATTGTCTCTGCTCAGGCTTCCAGCTCTCTGACAAGAGCAATGCATTGTGGGTACTGTACGCCTGAAAGCTGGTGCCAGGTAGAGGGATTCTGCAGCTCCTGGATGAGACTAGCCTCGCATTGATAAATCTTTACAAGGATGATTTTTAACCTTAGCATAGTTGTTCCTGCACAGAATGTTGGCGGTTATTTTTATGTGGGGTTTAGAGTACTATTGCTGATATTTTCAGGTTTTGCCAACTCTCTGAGTTCCGTGGCAGTATGTAAGTGAGCCATAAACCCCAACGAAAGAGTGATGGAAGAATATTTAGGTTGTGTATGCATATAGGACGTGCACGGACTCATTCGTGGAGAGCAGGAATACATATATCCCCATATATCTGTTGGGGATTTTCTATGTGTAAGTGTTTTCCTATGCACATGTCAGCAGAGAGGCTCACGGGGACAAGTTGTGAATAAACCTAAGCTTGGGGTATATGCTTTTATCTTGAACAGATATTAAAGGGATTTGAGGGCACTGCTTTTATGGAGAGCTTCATTTTGTTTCTGGAGTCAAGGAGGCTGCCAGTGTGTTGCCATAGCGAGTCGTCCTCCTGAGGCCATTTCTGTCCCCTGGGAAATGCTCAGTGGGGAATGAAACACAATGAGCCCTCAAGGGTTGGGGCTGGGAACCATCAGGGTTGGGCCAGGGATTTCACTCTGTCTCATAGTCAAGCGCATTTGTATCTTAATTTCTGCCTTCATTCAGTGGACGAATACTGCAAGCTTATCTCATGTCCCACACATGCGAAAATATTTTATGAATGCTACCAACTTCTTCCTTATAAACAAAACAAAACAAAGCCCAAGTAAATTAAAGCCAAAGACCAAACAGCCCCAAGAGATTTTTCAAGGGCTGGGACTGCTTTTGGGGAGAGATTGCTTTTTTAACTTTGATTTTTATCGACTGGGTGTATAGTCCTTTCACCGAGAGAGAACTTGAAGTCGGGGTTTGTGTATGATTTAAGGAGCTGTCAAAGTGATAGTAAGGCACAGTGTGATATAAAAAAAGATCGCAGTCCCAACAAGTTGTATGAAAGTGGAGTCGTTAGAAACTTGTGAGAAACCCGACAGTTGACACATGGTGAAATGTGCAATTAATTACGGGATGACTTCATTTTAAAGAATCTAATGTGTGTGTGTGGGGTATGTGCGCCCATGGGCTCTGACCTCTAACCAAAAAACTTGGTTATCATTGATACCTAATTAGTTTTCTTCAATAGAGTCTCACTGGGTATGTTAACTGTACTTCAGGGTGGGCCCCATGCCCAGCA